CGCATCGCTTTAGGTGACGGAGGGTCTCATGATAGCGCGTCAGATAGAGAGGTGGAAGTCGTATAGATGCCACGACCCAATGTCACGTTGGGTAGGAGGTGTTGTGAGATTGATGGAAATACGCAAGACCGAGACAAGTTCTGGATTTGGAGAAAAGGCGCCTACGAAGAAAGCGAGCAATCGGACCGCGTGACTTGGGTTTAGCGTGACTTGGCGGCAGCCTGACGCGCTTAAGGCAGCCTTGCCACACACGCGATAGAACACCTACTTTGTCACTCGAGAGATGAAGGCCGCAGGTAGAGCAGCAATATGAGAAATTCAATACTTCAGGGTATCATAGCGGTAATTCATGCGGGGCGACATTATGCAACAGGCCGTGCCAACTCGTATCACAAGTCTCCCAATTTCAGCAGCCCCCAATCCCCCAGGTATGCACACAGGGCACGGCTGCTGCCCTTGGTGCAGTAATGCACAATCTGAGTCTTCTTATCCTCACCTACTACTTTCGCAATTTGCCTCAGGTCACTAGTTCTCGGTAGATACAACACCACGTTGGGTGTCAGCGTCTTGAGGGACTCGTAGAGATGGCTGAAAGAGTATGGTTGCATCGCTTCGATATCGAAGACTTCAGCTTCTCGGTATCCAGGACCTGCACCAAATGTAAGCGCCGGACTAATCGACTGGTGTTTGCGTACATACCTCCCCAAGGGGGACTGGCGAAAATGACACCATAACTGCTGGCAATCGCCTTCAGTGCTTCCACAGTATTCCCCGTTTTAGATTCACCCAAGCCTAGAATCTCGAAACAATCTCCCTGGAACCAGGTGATCCGATCAGCAACACCGTAGATCTCGGCATTGTGTTTGGCACAGGCTAGGGTAGCGGCGTCTTTCTCAATCGCGTACACTCGTTTCCATCTGCCGGAAAGTGCGAATGCGATGGTGTTGCCGCCCACGCCACACATGATGTCGAAGATGATCGACTTGCCCGGTGGTGCGGCCTCTGCTATGTGTTGTGCAATTGTGCTAATCGAAGTCAGACAAACCTCATATAGAGGAGAAGAGGGGACGAGGAACCTACTTTGCAACCGACTCGTGGGTGACTTCATACCATGAATCATCAGTCATCCAGATACCGTCGTCATATTTTGAGAAGATCGAGTAGCCCTGATGCCAGTATCTGTAAAAGTGAGACAGGTCAGTCTCGGTAGAGAATGGGTGTTGCGATTCATACTTTTGGATGTCCCATGGAACTTCCTCGATGGTCTGGTAATGATGAACGCCTTCGGGCAAAGGCGTTGCAGGCGGCCGCTTCTTGGAAGGATTGTCATTGTCAGTTTCAGCGCGCTCGGTGTTCTTGCGTTTCCTTCCCATCCTAACGTCTAGAAGTCTGTTTGGTACTTAGGCAGATATTGTTGGCGAGAATCGAATCAGCGGAGTTGATTTGGAGATGGGGGCGGAGCGGAGGCGCCAAAAATCACCGACGATGAATTCATTCTCGACTCCAACTCTGCCCGCAACTTTTATTTGGCAGGCACAGCAGGCGCCTCTCCCTCAACAACCAACTGAACACTGATCCAAGGCTCCTTAGGCCTTCACAGCTGACGATGGACAATTCTCAATTTCGAAGTCTAATCCAATCCGACCGAAATGCAACTCCATCGAGCAGCGGGACCTCCCCGCCAACTTTCAAGAAGCCCGCGCTTGGCTCTCGAGCCCGCGCATCGATTCCTATGACGCCTCGCTCTGTAGCGGGATTCAATGCCGCCAAAGTATTCACGCAGCAACTTGCAGAATATCGAAAAGAACACGATGGACAACCTCCAACGAAAAGGTTCAAGTCAAGCGCACCGAAAGGCAGTAAACTCGCCTCTGGCTACCAAGACCGTACCTTGGCTCGACAGACGGACGAAGAGCGTGTGGAGGAACTCGATGATAAGGAGAAGCGAGTCAAAGCATTGGAAGAGATGTACAAACTACAACAGATTGACGAGGCTACCTTTGAGAAGCTGAAAAGCGAGATTGGGATTGGTGGCGATCTTAAGAGTACACATCTAGTAAAAGGCTTGGACTGGAAACTGTTGGAAAGAGTTCGACGAGGCGAAGATGTCAACAGCGCTCCAATATCCGAGCGGGGGGATGCGCCTGCTCAATTGAACGTAGACGACGAACTGGAGGAAGCCCTGCAGAGAGATGTGAAGATGGAGAGGCCGACTTCGAAGGAACCACAAGATGAAACCCCGGATGATCTCCAAGAACCCATGACACGAGATGCCATCTTGCGACGGCTGAAGGAGAGCCGAAGTGGAATGTCAGCGGCCGCCCCTCCAGAACCAGAACCAGCACTTGGAGCACGGTTCAAGAAGGTGACCTCGGAGAAGCCAAACAAGAAGAAATTCGTTGAAATCATCAATGGACGGCGCCGAGAGGTGTTACTCATCACCAATAAAGATGGAACGACGAAGAGGAAGACTCGCTGGCTTGATAAGGAGGAGGATGTCCCAAAAGGCGATCGAAATCAACCTCTTGGGATGGAAGTGCCAGCAGAACTCCTAGCGAAGCAACAAGCCCTTCTGGACCAGCAAGCGGGCGAAGAGGATGATGATGATATCTTCCAAGGAGTAGCCGATTACGATCCACTCGCCGGTATCAACAGCGAGTCAGAGGATGAGGCAGTCGACAAAGAGACGGCGTCAAGAGCAGAGACCACCGAACAGACCGCTGCATCGACGAGCAACAAGCCACGAAATTACTTTGCGACAAAAAATCAAGAAGAGGAAGCCGAGGATCGCACCAATCCGATTTTGAAAGATCCTACACTCCTTTCGGCCTTGAAGCGGGCTGCAGGCCTACGAAAAACGGAGGAGACGGGTGGGGATTCAGCTGTCGAGTCAGATCCTGATAAAGCCGCGAGGCAGCAGCAGTTGCTGGCTCGACTGAGAGAACGAGATAGGGCAGATGCTGCAGATCTGGATCTAGGATTCGGTGAGAGTCGGATTGCCGACGAGGACGACGAGGACGAAGCAGGGTGGGACGAGGGTGGAGGGTCGGCGAAGAAAAGTGGACGGAAGCGTGGCCCAAAGAAACGCAAGGGGGATAAAGACAACGTGAGTGATGTGATGGCAGTGCTTCAAGGGCGTGAAAAGAAGCCCTGAAGTCCGAAGATCATACCGAGTACCTCGTACAGGACATTGAATCTCGTGCCCGTTTCTTTTCATAAAGTTTCGCTTCTGCACGACATCTGACCGCGTGGCCGTAATCGAAACGAAATGGCAATGTCAATGCGCTAGAAGACGATACTGGAGTACATATCCTTCGTACGTACAACGCACCACATGGTCGAAGGCCTGGAGCGTTTCTTAAATTGCACAGAAACCCAAAGGGGGGGACGTTGTTTTGGTAGGATCCGCAAGCGGGGGGCAGAGGAGTTTTCAACTTCCCCCCTGTTGACATTGCGCGGACTTTCGGAAATCGGGATATCAAATGGTCAGATTTTCAAGATGACCAAGGGAAAGATGGTGGTTAGGAAGTGAATCGGTGGAAATGGCGAGGAGGATGGAGATTAACGAGTACTAGTACCATTCCCTTGTAGATGGCCTGGTACGGGACCTTCATCCCTGGGATGCGATAGGGATGCGATATAGAAAGGTACCAAGTACGGAGTATCTATTCGTAGCACGTGTGTTGCTAGTACTATGATCCTATCACGCCAGAAGACCCAGCCAGGTAAGGGGAAACTATTCCCGATATGGAAGTTCTCCGTACTAAATGCCTCCCTGTTAGTACCACCATCAGGACAGTCCACTGAACAGATGACGTGTCCCATGCCAAGCCCCACAACCCACCAGATTCTAGGTACACACTCTCTCACATACTTACACACATTCTCTCTGAATCGCTTCATCAATATCTCAGTACTAATATAGCACAGCTGAGTACTATTTCCACCTTTCTTACTGCCCGCAGAGACTCTCGTTGTCAATCACTAATCCACTCCTTGTTCACGATGTCAAGAATATCCGCCACTGGGATCTTCTGGACTAGTGTCCGTTTTCCCCTTGGGCCCAAGCAGGGGTCTGTTGCGCGGGTGGCTGGTACCTGACACCACGTAGCGTTGCGACCGGCAAAGCTAACCCTCATCGGATTGTTTCGATAGCTTAACTGGCTCACCCGTTTGCTGGACCTCGCCGGAGCTCGCAGTGGTGGATGTTTCCCCTGCATTGCCGCCCCCATTGGCGGTTTCAGGTCAGATCTTTACCAATCTGGCCGCTGACTGGCTTCGGAACGACCAAGATCCTGCGACAGTAGCCTCGTTGCCAATTGACCTCGCCTGTTCTGCAGCTTTCCCCTTTTTTGGCCCCAGCCTGGGAATCTGGGACTCCCATGCCAGCAACCAGGACCGTTACGATAGCCCGACCCATGGTCACGGCGTTTCTGATACATGTCATTTTTACCCGCTTCTCTTCTCGCTGCCAGCGAATGGATCTTGAAAAGACCTGTCTCTTACAACACCGGGAAACATGCGGTCTACCATCTACCAGGATCCCCGTCACACGAAAGACCACCATGAAACGTGCCAACCCGTTTTTGCTGTCCTGTTCACAACTATCCTTCAACCCCTTCCACCATGTTCCCCATCGACCCCTCTGCTGGCAGAGGTATAACTCTGAGGTTCTTGTCGTTTCATTTACATCTCCTTCCTTCTCCTTCCTACACAGCTGTCTTCCCCCGTTGTAGGCTCTCTGACACGTTTGTGCGACACATTGCACTTCGTCTTTCTTTCTGCAAGGCTAGTCCTTCGTTCCGTCATTCGCACACTGCAGAGCTACGCTCGCGGTCACTCTTTCACCCAACCAGGTCCTTCATTGATTGAATCGGCTACAGCGTTCCCCAGGCGGGTCGTCAAAAAAACCCATATACTATACCTCGCATCGCTTTCCTGCAAGACTACTGCACCCATCAAACATCATCCCCGTCAACAGCTTACTCATCTGATTCAATATGGTTACCAAATACTTGTCTGTGGCGTTGTTCGCCTCGGCTGTTTTGGCATATCCTAAACGACACGAACGATTCCACTATGGCAGTGGCACAGGTGGTGGCTGGGCTATGCCAACTGGTGGCATCTACCCCATGAATGGCACTGTTCACACCAAGGGTCCAGACTCTGGTGCTTCTTCGGTGGAGACACCCTCTTCTGTCGTGGCTACAGCTGTCAGGACTGTCACCGTTCAGCCCATCCCGCTCGACTCGTCTTCTCCCGATACGGCTCCCGCTCCTGCTCCGGCTTTCTCTAGCCCGCCCGAGGTTGCAGCAGTCGCTTCTAGCCCCGGGCTCGCAAATACCGATGCCGCCCCAACAGTCGCCGCTGCAACGGCAGCTGCTCCAACTGATGGTGACATGTCGTCTTGCTTCGTCTTGACTACCACCATCACCGCCACATCTGTCGAGTACGTCACGGTCACAGCAACTGCTGGCGTTGGTGGGTCCGAGGACTCTACAGCGACTCTCCCCTCCGAGGGATCTGCCCCTTCAGGGGGTGCAGGCCAATTCTTCGGGGCTTCATCGAGCACCAGTTCTGCATCTGTTGCACCCGAAGGCCCCGGCGGATTCTATGGTGCTTCTCAAAGCTGGACCTCGGCTTCATCTACTACGTCCGCTGCACTGGGTGATCTGTCCTCATCAAGTTCATTCAGCTTTGTTTCGGTTTCTGCTACTGCTGGGCAATTCTTCCCCGGCGGCGGAAGAAGCTCGGGTGTTCCATCCTTCGGTGGCTCTTCCATCTCAGTGCCGTCCGTTGGTTCCCAAGGCGTTCCCCCTACAATCATCCCAACGACATTGGCCACTGTGACTGGCGGGTCTCCCGCTTCCAGCGCAGCCAGCAGCGCCTCTGCGTCGTCGTCCGCCTCAAGCCCAAGCTCACCTCCTAGCACTGGCTCATCGGGCAAGAGAGGTCTCTCTTACAACGACGCGTCCTTGACTGACGCCTTCGCCGGCAAGGGCATGAGCTGGGCGTACAACTGGGCAGCATCGCCAGGTGGCCAGATTGTCTCTGGTGCCGAATTCGTCCCTCTCCTCTGGGGCCAGAACTCCATCTCAGGCTGGTCCAGCGCTGTTCAGTCCGCCATCGCCAGCGGATCCAAGCATGCCTTGGCCTTCAACGAACCGGATCTTGGTTCCCAATCGAATATCGACCCCGCGACGGCCGCCAAGCTGTACATCGACAACATGAACCCCCTCTCCGGCCAAGTTGAGCTTGGGTCGCCCGCCATCACCAACGGGGCGGGCACCAACCCACTCATGGGCATCGACTGGCTCAACGCCTTCTTCGAGTCCTGCAATGGTCAATGCAAGGTCGATTTTGTCGCCTTTCACTGGTACGACTCGGCCAGCAACTTCGCCTACTTCAAGAGCCACGTCCAGGACGTCATCACGGCCGCAAAAGCCAACGGGGTCAGCAAAGTCTGGCTCACCGAGTTCGGGGCGTCCGGAAGTGACAGCGATGTCGCCAACTTCCTGACGCAAGCCATCGACTTCCTCGACTCGACAGACGCCGTCGAGAGGTACGCATACTTCATGTGTTCCAACGGCATCCTCGTCAACGGCAACTCGATTTCATCGCCCGTGGGCTCTGCCTACGCTGGCTAGGAGACATGACTGATCCACCATTCCTTTTTCTTCCAAGTCGTGTGTTGTCTGTACGTGTGTGAAACCCCCAGACTTTTATGTTCAAGCACACACCTTCGCCACCACCCCAGCTTTTTAGATCTTTATATATTTACCTTCAATGTATCATATTTTTGGGCCAAAAAGAAAAAGAAAGACCGAACACTTGGAGGGGTTTTCTAACCCTTCAAATCATTTCTCTCTGATCTACGAGCGACGGGAAATCTAGTCTTTTCTTTTTGCTTTTGGAAAGAGGTTTAGGCGGTTTTTTCTTTCTTTCTGAGAGCGGAAAAGGAGGAACCGGGATTTATCAGGTCTTTCTTGACAGGGCTGGGAAATGGGAAACGGAGAAATGGGACCACAGAAACGAGAACAAAAACTTGAACTTTGGGAAAGGTACAGACACATCATCATCATGGGATTTGATTACCCAAGAAAAACCACAAGAAGTGACACTCACACTCACACCCACACACTAAGTTGTGTGCGCTACCTCTATGGGGAGGTTGTGGAGCAAGCAGGCAGGCAGGGGGTAGAAAATTCAAAAGACGTGCAGACGAATATAGTCAGACACAGAGTGCTCGGCACGATTGTACCTAGCCAAACCAAACGCACACTCCTTTTAACGATGTAAACGAAAGAGCGGAAATGCATTCACTCCATAGCAAATTTAGCCGGGTGACACTTCAGATGAAATCCATACATAAATACATACACGCTTCTTTTTCATACATATATACATATATACCGAGTACATATACAAAGTTGATTCCTGCCTCGTCGGCCTGTCTGGGATATTGTTAGATAGAGATATATTCACGGTGACAATTTACCCCCTTCTTCAACGCCGCTACCGACTACGGACTTTCTTCGTCGTCTCGGTCCATCGCGTCAATGCCGTACCATCTATGTGGCTCTCCTCCAAGTCCATGTCCAATGTCCCACCATCCCAGTCTATATCGATAGCAGCCGTCGGACAGTCCCCGGCCACCGTTTCCCATGACGCGTTGGCCAACAGGGTCGTCCGGGTCGCACATTCGACTCCCTGCAAACAGCGTCGCGACGCCGGCAATGGTACACGGGTTGAAAGGGACCAGCTCGTGCAGCTTGGAACAGTATGCGGCGAGCGAGGCAAGCGCAAAGATGAGACCCAGCTGGACCTGGAGGATGATTTTCGCGGTGCGGTCTTGGACGATCCGAGCTTGGGAGGTCGCGTCCAGGAGCGTGCCCGTCACGGTTGTGCGGTTTGCAGGACTCGTTGCGGAGTCCTCGGCCGAAGTTTCGCTGGGAACTCGCATGTTGCTTGATATGGCCTGCGCCATGTACCGCCGGTAAAAGCCACGGATGCCACCGTAGACCTGGGAGACATCTGCTTCGTGGGTGCTTGCCAGAACAGACATTTCGAGCGGTTGCTTCCCGAAGACGACGCCTTGAAAGAAATGGTCCAATGGGGGTGAGCTCTCCGCCAGTGTAGCAGTACTGTTCCCTGTTTGGTTGAAAGAGGAGAACTCATCGTCCATGTGCAGTTGCAACCGGAACTGGAACGCCGTCTCGCCGTTCATGCCGCTGGGGAGTCGTTCTGTGGAAGATTCATTCACCACGGGAGGTTGACTTGTGGCAATGGTGAGATCCGGCCAGGTAAAAGTCACGTTCGTTTGTAGTTGGTCGATGTACTGATAGCACATCAAGGTCGTCATTGCTGTCTTTGACTCGGCGTTGACGTCTGCATATCCATAGATCAAAGCCAGAGACGGGCATCCAGGAGGGTTATCTGGCTGTGTGTTTGGCGAAATTTCGCCAAAGCTAGAAGCCTGTATTGGATCAAATGGACCGACGTGTAGATCCAAGAGCTTGCCAACGAAACTTGAGTTCCCCCTCAACGTAAAGGTGTTACTGAGCTGAATGGAATTTGCCGTACCGTTGGGGCCACCACGGGAACACGCTGGCGGCAAAGGCACCGTAGCATAGACCGAGGCCTGAGCTGTCTCGATCCTGGAATTATAACTTGCTGACACATTCACCATATCTCTAGTCAGTTCCACACACTCCAGATCGCCGCGCAGGGCGGGAAGTTGAATCTGTAGAGTGGCGTTCGTGTCAACACCACCTTTCGTAGACACAACAGGTTTCAGGGAAGGCAGAGCTAGTTCCCCATATGTGAATTGCGGATAGTCCAGACCCAGACTTTCCGTCAAGCTTGCTACAACGGCTGCGGAGCCGTCATTCTTGACACTATTGACCCATTTCGTATCGAACGTATCTGAGCGGTTCAAAGAGACTGTCCGAGTCAGGGGAAGGTTATCAACAGTATAGAGGCCGGAAACCACAATAGTAAGAACACTTGCGATGAGGCTGGCAAGCACGGAAAGTCCAGTTCCCCATTGACGGTGTCGTAGCGAGTTCCAGATGGCAAGTGGAGGCAGACAACCAAGATTTGATGTCGCGATACTTCTCGATGCCGAAGCCCCAACTTTGGAATGGAGCGCGTTGTATGGTGCTAAAACAGTAATGTTGAAATCGAGAGCATTGACCATAGTTGCGACTAGAAACATCAACAAAGCAGGGAGGAACCGGGTGTATATGGTGATGGACATGCTGCTCGATCCCTGGACAGCGACGAATCCATGGTGTTTGTCTGAAATCTGCTGTATGACCTCGAGTGCTCCAAGGGCAATCAGTGGCAGAACCAGGCTGATGATGACAACTGGAAGTTTGAGGGTCAGAGGGCTCCACCATATCGTCTCATCATTTCCAGCCACATTGTTATTGTCTTTGTCGTCTGGAGAACGAACCGGGCTTGATAGTGAGATAGAGATGAGACGCTCATCGTCATTATCTCCTTGAGACTCAGCACTGAATCTGAAGCCTTGAAGCTTGGCATGAAGCTCGTCATCTCCACCGAGACCGACCCCCCTCAACGTTGCCCTGAGATTAATACTATAGGTTAAGAGCTCTGCAGTCCTGCTTGGGGCTTCAGGATTGTGGAGACACGGATTCTTCGGTCTCTTCCAGAGGAGGCTTAATGTCAACAAAGCCATTACGACGCAGCCAGAGACCATAATCCAGAGCGACAAGTCGCTGATCTGGAGTCTCTCTTCCTGTCGAAGAAAGGTACCTGGGAGAGTAGTGTTGTCATTGCTGATGATGTATTTAGCGGCCGACTGAAGGGCAATTTGTTGCAGAACCTTTTCCGCAGCTGCGACCATTGTAGTTTCATTCAGCAAATCTTCATATGTGCCGCCAATCATTGCTGCCATCATTTTAAAAAGGACATTAGGATACTCCAGAACGTTCTGGTTATCCACCAGATTACCAAACATGTCTGCGCTGGCACTGAGAGCCGAAGTGGTCAGGACGCCGAGATCAAAAGCTGTGAAATTCCCCGGCATGGTCCCATTGCTGTTGCCTGTGCGGGTCGTCCGGATTCGTCGAGGAACACTCTCAAGGTCATAAGATAATTGAATGCTTTCGACCGAGAACCCCGACCTGCAAGCTATGCCAGTCATTTGTGCCACGGCTGTAGACCAAGCTGTTGCCGTAACTGGATCTCCCAAAGCCAAGTCGCTCGCATTGGCGATCGTTTGATTGTAGCGAAAGTCTATCAGGGTCAATAGCTGCCAATTATCTTGACCCCCAAGAGACGTATGCGTGTTGCAATCAATTTGTTGTACTAGAGGACTCAGCTGACGTTCCGGACAAACGAAAGTCTGAGGATTGAGGGCATAGACCGGCGTGCCTTTCCCGTCTGCTCGCAAAGTACACTCTGGGAACAACAATTGGAGGGTGTCCTGCGGATGAAAATCTGTCACATTTGCAGGCTGAAGGTTGACTGTCACAGGGGCACTCTCACAGTGGTATGTTGGGACGAGAGCTCGAACTTCTGCGCTAACTGTTCCGTTGGCGTCCTGACCCTGTATCGGCAGTCTGAATTCCCCAATCTGTTCGTAAACCATCTCAGCAGTCGTGCCCTCTGCGTAAGTTAAACCCTTACTCATAGCAGCATAAGCCGTGTATGCAATTGACGGGTCGAAAAGCCCCTGATTTGCTGACGCATCATAGAGTGAACCGTCCAGCCTTGTGATTCTTGAGACCTGAACTTGACTGCTGGGTAAGGCGACGGGATCCGGGAAAAGAAGACCAGTAGAGGCAAGTGTGATCAGCTTGAGAACAACAAATCCCAATATTGTCGTAACAATGGTGAAATGTCTGTTCTTCGACGCGTTGTAGAAGCTTATAACTTGTAGGGGCGACTTGTAGTCGAGCAGCACACTTTGCGATGGGTGAGCATTTCCTCGAGCCAGCTCGTCCCAAGGCGTAAGAGCCTTACAATAGTAATCGATCTGTCGCCATGCAGCAAGAACAAGGGTGAGCACCGCAGTCGGGCCATACGTCCAAGTGAAATGATTTGAGGTCCGAAGTCCTAGGCCGTCATGTTGTTTGGTCACATGTAGCAAGAGCAGCAGCACTGAAATAAGAGCAACGAAGGTCAATGTTGTTGCTAGAAGAAAGCTCGTGTGCAGCCAGATCGGATTCCATGTTGTCGGTTTCGATTTCAGAGTGGTTGAAGTCTTCTCGACTTCGTCTGGCACGGGACCAGGACTCGCGACTCGCTTGGCACGGAAGATATCCTTGGGGAACCCGAAATGGAAGTGGAATATGGGCAACAACTGACGTGGTTTGTGTCGCTGAGCCCGATCAGCAAATTCTGCCTGCATGTCATGTATCACAATGCCGACGGAGGCGGTTTCTCCAGCAGAGTGAGAGACGAACGATTGGGTTTCCGATGTTGTTACACCACAGAGAGATCATTTAGATATTGGCAAAGTATATTTGTCGAGATAATATAGAGTAAGATCTTGTCCGAGGCAACATTCTGGCCGTGGCCAATGATGCGGTCGGCGCTTAGTCGTACCCTTTTGCCGCTACTTCCAGATTTGAGACCATGAGCGACATGAAGCGAGAGCGTCCAAAGTTGCTGGGACCTTTGATTCAGCCGTAGTATGCTCGTTTTCGGGTCGTTCCGTCATTGATGTGGATGTTCGATGCGATCTCGAGCAAGTCTGTGGCCCAATGAGGTCAGTAGGTTGCATCACCTATTAGTGGACTGGGGTTCAAGCGCCGACCCTCTGAGATGGACAGACATGCACAGCGACACTCATGTCCGAGGTCATAGTGCTAAAGAAAGAAAGTCCACGAGCGTCTGTTGAAACGGTGGACAGTGTCGCAGATACGCGTCCCTTCTATTCGTTTCAGGCCTCCTATTGGCCAGCCTCGTCAGTGCGTCAGGCTTGATCGCCATACATCTCGAGCCCTTCTGAATGCAAATATATTCTCGTTATCGTCTGATCCATGCGAGATATGTTGCGCATTCGTCGCATCGTCCTGACTTGGCTCCGAGAAATGGCTCTGAGGAAAGTGTACGGCAACACTGGCCACAGCAGACTCATAAAAGCAGGGCGCAGGGAAGCTAGAACTGCCAACAGTGGAATACCCTGTACACTGTTTTACCTTAAAACGTATTCATACATCGAATCAAGTTGAGATCAAGTAGAGGCCCTTTTCAGACCTTGCTCAGCGGTCTCGACAAGAGGCAGAAGATTTCTCTCCTTCAACATAGGCAGCAGACTCTGAAAGGCTTCGCGTGCCTTCGCCTTGTCGCCATTATCCAGCAACAGATCTGCGCGAGTCATCTGGGCGGAGATCAAAGCGGCGGTGCAGATTTCATCGCGCTCCTCAGACTTGACAACGTCGGCCGTGGCGATTGCCTGGTCCGCCCATCTCAGAGCGGCGCGTCTCCCGGCCGCGAGCGTGTCCTTGGTCGCTGGCTTCCCATTGATCTTGGCCGTGGGTTTCTTCAACGCCATGTCCATGGCAGAAGCGATGTTGCTGAGGACTTGAACCTCTTTGCAGGATCTGGTGCCGTTGCACGACGCCCTCAGCGGTTGCAGAGTGAGCATATATAGTTGGATGGCGTTTTCCTCTTCTCCCGAAGTGGCGTACAGATCGCCCATCTGGGACAGCATCGCAGCAATTTCCCCAGTAGTCAAGCCTGCACCATTCTCCTCCGTGAAGGTATTGACCTGAGGGTTCTTGGTCTCCTTGACGACAAGCCCGACCGCGTCCGACAGCACTTGTTTGGCCATGGTGGGATTTTGGAGATAATCGCTTTCGTACATTGAGGAGACTTTGATCTTGAGCTTGACGATTCCCTTGATCAGATTCGCGCGGAAATCTGCTGTTTCTGGATCCAGAGCGGATGGAGCATCGCTCTTGACTGACTGTGCTTGGTCGAGTTCTGCCAACTTGTGTTCGAGATCCGAAGAGATACCATCCAAAATTTCGATGGCAGCCTTCACGTGTCCAAACTCTTCTAGCATCTGGGAGAAGCGGACCCGGATGCCAACCGTGTCTTTGCTATACGGGTCCATCCCAACCTCCTCCGCCTTCTTGATAGCTTGCATGAAGTATTGTGACGCGGTGTCCGGGTCTGGCGAGATGTGGGTATAGTGCAAGGCCAGCCGTAGTTGGTCTTCGACCGCCGGAGGATATACTGAGGTGCCTTTCTTCTCCCTCCGCCATTGGTCGTACGCCATGATGATGAGCAAGACTACTGAAGCAGTCGAGCCAAAGAGCAGGAACGGAAAGAGGACAGGGTGCTTGACCCGGGCATCGATGACTGCTTGTTCGAATCGGTTGGGCGGTCTCGCATAGTTTCTGGCGTTTCTTGTCTGGACTCGTGCGTTGAGGGAGGGTGTGTTCCGGAGACGAGGCCGTGATCTGGACAAACTGTGGATGCGATTGAGGCAAGCTCGAGAGGGAGCGGGTTGTGCAGGCCTGAAGCCGCGAAGTAGCTGAGCTGTGAGCATACCGGATTTCATGTTCATGACCGACGATAATAAGATTGTTCTCGAGAATAGGAGAGAAATGGGTAAACTGGAAAGAAGTGCGGCAGGATCCTTATTGATGGTCCACGTTTTTTGACGCGGAAATAAATTTGAGATTCTACCCCAGATTTCTCGCGAAATGCGCCGACGTCACCACCCGTCGCGCCACCAACACCACCACTCACTCGTATTCCCATCGTATTTGCCAACTCTCGCTGCGCCCACCTCCTTTTGACATGCTCTACATAGTTCCTCAACATCTCCAAAATGTGTGGGAGATACGCGCTAGGTCTCCGCGCGGCGTTTGTGCGGTACCAGCTTCAGCAGCAAGGCATGCCGGTTGACGATGCCCCCGGCGACAATGAAGCCCGCGAAACCTACAACTTCCCTCCCGGGTCCTTTGGCCTTGTTTACAGGGCAGATGTGCCAGACCAAGGGGTCAGGGACAACGACGAAGCAGGAACCAGCGACGCTGCTGCAGAACACGAGAGTCAAGCAGAGCAAGTGGAACAAGAGCCGCAAGAGTCGACCCCGCCGACATCCAGTCAATCGAAGCACTTCAATTACCAGCTCAAAGTCATGAAATGGGGGTTGATCCCCTTCTGGACCAAGCGCGCCCCCGACTACGGGTCCATGTTGCGTACTATCAACTGCCGCGACGACTCTCTGATCGAGAACCGGGGTATGTGGAACACGATGAAGCAGAAGAAGCGCTGTCTGGTCGTGGCGCAGGGTTTTTACGAGTGGTTGAAGAAAGGTCCGGGTGGAAAAGAGCGAATCCCATATTTCGTCAAGAGAAAAGATGGCAACTTGATGTGGTTCGCTGGATTATGGGACTGTGTCAAGTACGAAGACACAGGGGAGAAGCTGTACACCTACACTATTATCACGACAGATGCGAACAAGCAGCTGCAGTTCCTACATGATCGAATGCCAGTGATTCTGACTCCCGGGACTGAAGAAGTCAAGATGTGGCTGGACCCGACAAGGAACAAGTGGAGCAAGGAGCTTCAGGCGATTCTGAAACCATATGAGGGCGAGCTTGAATGCTACCAAGTAGACTCAGCCGTCGGGAAAGTGGGAAACAATTCACCCAGCTTCATTGTTCCGGTCGACAGCAAGGAGAACAAGAAGAACATCGCCAACTTTTTCAGCAACGCTGGTGCAAAGAAAGCCACGGATAAAGTCAAAGTCAAACCGGACCCAGCCCAGCCCGCGGCTGAAGATATTGGAGACGGCAAAGACGTGCCGCTGCCTGGAACGAGTCCCCCATTCGAAGGAAAGCAAGGCATAAAACGAGAGCATGATGACGAGTCCCAGGGCAGCCCAACGAGAAAGCACACGAAAGTGTCCTCCACCACTCAGTCCTTGAAGTCTCCTCAACCCAAGACGACTGTAGGTAAGAAGCCGAAGAGTGCAACTAGCAACAAGGACATGACTCTGAAGTCTAGTCCTGCAAAGAAAGTCGAACCAGGTATGCAACAGATCACAAATTTCTTCAGCAAGTGAAAATACCTGAATGTGAGCTCTGGCGAGGGCTGGTCATATCTCTACCATTCGCCCATCACGTTCGGAAAGCCCTACCAGCTCATCACTTACTTTGACCTCGATCCACTTGCCGCCAGCCGCCTTGCGGACACTCCGCAAATGTCGCGCCACAGACTGCGCAGTGCTTCGAATCCTGTCGAAGCGTTCACGCTCTTTCTTGTACCGATAGAGCCTACGCTCGGCCTCGATATCCTCATCCTTGGCTGGAGTGCCGTGTCCTATCGCCGAAGGACGAACCGGTCTCCATCCGACTTCTAGAATCAGCGTCTCCAGCCCCCGCCAGCCACTGTTCCATTCAGGGCCAGCCGTTTCCTCCCCAGGAGGGGACAATGAGGGTAGAGAGAAGAACGATACGGCCAGTGGACTTTTCCATTCAAGTGCAGCAAACCAGTCTCCACAACCTGTAAGATCCAGCCATTTTAGGCAGTATAGCGAGCGGCTCAGTGTCCGCAGCATTCCTGCTGCTTCTCGCCAGTCGTCGTCGAGAGACGTATGAATGTCCGATCCGTCATACACTGCCGATGCGAAATCGGGCCGGTTGATTAGGGCTCGTGTGAACGCGGCGTTTGGCGTGAGTGTAGGTTGAGGCCAGTGTGCCAGAGAAAGAGAGGTCAAAGTGCCCAATTCAGCAGTCAGAGCAAGAAGCGAAGACCACGAGGCAGCCTTGAAGTTGTATGGAGAGACAGCGAGGGACAGATGCCTCAAATTCTTGAAGTTGTGGATAGTTCTAGGCAGTGGAGTGATCGTTGGAGTGTCTGTTGCGTGTTCACCGTTTGCATCAGTGTCCCAGCTATCTGGAGTAGGATCCATTGTAAAAGTTCGATTTTCGGCCGTCTTCTTGATACTCGTAGTACCTGCATTCTTGACCAATAGATTTCTTTCCAACTGTTTCAAAGTCGTCCAAGTCCCTACGGCGTTGCTTAAGTCCAGCCTTGTGACCTGCGCCTTGTCCTCGGTGTCCGTTTCATCTAAAAACAGAATCTTCAACGGATTACTCCGGACCGTCTCGCTGTATACGGCAATGTAGCTCAAAAGATTTTCCCTAAGTAAGATAGGCAGATCCACAAAATAGTCGCCGTCGTTCTCTGCGTGCCATTCCCAATTGCATGCTATGCTCTTCAACACGAGATGCTGGAGGGAGGTGACAGAAGGGAAGGCTCCGTTTGGCAGATTACTCGACCGCACTTGAATGCGACCATTGCCAATATCTGGATCGGTGGTAAGAGCGACAGGATAACTGGAAATAGTCGAAGTACCGCGTCTGCCTGTAAGCCAGCTCTGTGGTGGAGGTGGACCAGGGATGTGCCACAGCAGACTCGGACCCAACTCACCGCCAGCTGCGCGAGGACCAAATCTGGGTCGTGGGGCAGGCGCAGGCGGCGTGGGTAGGTCAAGGACGGCTCTCACAGAGGGGTGGACAGAGGATGCGTTAGCTGCAGTGTCAGACCTCGTGCCATTTCTCAATTGCTGACGACGAGACTCCCGAATCAGGTCATTGACGGTGCGTGGAGTATCCGAGTTTTCAGGTTTGGAGGCCTGCGACTTCGAGAGCGAGAGGGTATGAGGACTGCTGGACTGCGGTTTGAGGAATAGGACTCGTTTTTGGTGTTTCTTCGGCATGGATCCAACCGTGACGGGTGACGAGGGGACAGGCAGGTGAAGTCCACAGGGGACAAGGCGAGGGTGAGTACCTATCGAGCTATATCGAGCTATCTTGTCTGTTCATGGGGAGTCATGATCGAGTCAGGAAGGGAGTCATGGATGGAGGTAGTAGTCATTCGACCGCCGCCTATTCCAGACCGGACCATCACGTGTAGCCAAGAGAGAGAATGTACTTGCTCGTATGTCATTCCCTCTATCAGTGACTGTCACAATGTCCAACCGCTTATTGCCTCAATGTAGAGGCGGCTACTTAGCATATGAGGTGTATATGGTGCATGAGATTACATCGAGACACTAAAGATAGTTAGGTTGGGGGGTAGAGATTCCAGAGTCAGAGGTAGAAGTGGGCTCCTGGCTCTTTCGGATAACGGGAAACAAGCGCTGTGGGGGAGTCATTCTCACTCACTGGCTCTCTTGGCGAGGGACTATTATGTATGTAGCTCTTTCGATCACAAAGGTAATAGGCAGGATGGGAGGGCATCAGTCAAAAATCCACATCAATGGTATTGTACAGATAATATAGGCAGCCTCTCCTGTGAAGCTGTAAAGGACGAGGCCGATACCACTAGGAGCCCATGTAATCGCCTGTGTGTTTCTGCCCATCCGAGAAACACAGGCCGCACTTTCATGGTCTGTCCGCTATCCCTAAACCCATCTCTTTCTCTTCCCGGTGGCTTGTATCCCTGCATCAATAAAAGTACACCTGTTTTCCACCAGGAGTCGTAGTTCGGCACCGCCCAACTGCTCTTTCGCATAGCACGGCCTGAACAGTTGTGCCGCGTCTAACGTCTTATTTGCTTCACCACGAGTGTTATCAGCAGGAGAGCTCGTCGAAGCTCAAGAGTTTGGGTGGACGCGAAACGCATCTCAGCTCCGTAAATGTCCAATCCGCGCACTCTAGCGCATGTACCGCTCCCAGTCTGTATTTGCTTCAGTCAGAGCTTGGAGGAGCGAGGCGCATTTTCTGATGATATGCGAAGCAGAGGTAGCGTATGATAGTATCGATCGAGTTGAGCCTTCTAGAAGCCAGGCGGGTTGAGTCTCTGACTGACTCTCGTCCATTTCGGTAGCTCTGAAATATTTCATCAGTAATTGTATGCACGGATGAGAGCTTGCCAGGCATACTGTGAATGCCTTTCCTGTATTTCTTTTCCTTGCGATCAAAAATCGTGTACTTGTCCTTTGGAAGCATCTCCTCCTCTCGAGGCATCTCCTGGTACCATCGTTCTACCGCTTTTGCCGTCAAACCGCCATTTTTTTGTAGGGCAGTGCTGACCGTATCGACCACTTTATCGACCAACTTTAATCGCTTTCGTTGACGCGCTTTCTGCATCGAAGAGAGGCGCCAGGGGATTTTCCTGCAAGCAAGACTCAATTAGTATGGACGACCGGCGAAGAGCTCCCTTTCCAACATAGACGCACCATAGAAGACCTCCTGCTAGAGGAGAAGTCGGCCTGAACATGGCTGACGAAACGAAAAGGAAAATAGGAATTGACTGATCAAGTGCAGGTCGAAAAGTGAGCTGGTATTGTTGCGTAGGAGAATGGGAAGTTCGAGCGCTATCGGAAATGTTGCCGCAATCATTCGCTCCGCAGCTTCAGCAAAAAAAAAATCCCGCCGACTTACTGACAGCCAACAGCTCCCGCACGACGCCTCCAGCAGACATGGATTAATGATAATTTCTAACTACGGCGCTCCACGATTCCTCCCTTCCTTAATCAGACTCGATGGACTTCATTACATTCGTTCCTTTGCCGCGCTACATCACCAATGCCCCTCCACCGCAATGACCTCAATCTCTACCAAAACCTGGAGTCCCCGAGCTTTTTCTGGCGCGGTGCCTCGTACCAAACGATCCTTACCGTTGCCACGTTGTCGCGTCTCTTCCTCTACACTCTGAACAAAACCGAAGTCCAAGGGTTACCCCGTTTTCTCGACCTCTTAAAGTCGCGTTCCGACTTCAAAACACGTCGTCGCGGGCTGTTGACCGTCTCGAACCATATTTCCGTCCTCGACGAACCATTAATATGGGGCGTTCTTCCTTTCTCCTTCGCAGCCTTCCACGGCTATATGAACCACCGCTGGAGTCTGGGTAGTCATGATATCTGCTTCAAAAATGCATTTACGTCCCATTTCTTCACATTGGGACAAGTCCTCCCTATCCACCGCGGCGCACACTCGCCTTTTGGTGGACCCTACCAGGCAACGATGACCGAAGCTGTCCGCCTCCTCTCCAAGATCTCTGCACAGAAGCAATCACTCAGTCCCCTGAGCAATCCGCGGTTTCACAAGGATTGGAAGCCTGCTCAATGGCCCTGGGATTGCGTGGATCCGTTTTCCGACATCTCGCCTCCACCGTCCTACCCATCACAGCCCTCCGATGTGAGGTGGTATCTCGCCCCATCACGCTATGCAAGCAACTCGTACAGCTGGGTACACATCTTTCCCGAGGGAATGATCCACCAAGCCACTGACAAGACGATGCGCTACTTCAAATGGGGTGTGGCCCGGCTCATTCTCGAGCCGCCTGAGTGTCCTGACGTGGTACCCATGTTCATTGAAGGAACGGACCAGGTTATGCATGAGAGTCGGTCCTTCCCTCGCTTCATACCCAGGATCGGGAAAAGAATATCTCTTACAATCGGACGGGAGCTCGACGTTGAAGCAGTGTTTGGTGACCTGCGCAAGCGCTGGCGAGATCTGGCGGACCGACATGCCCGTGAAGCCGGACTGCCTGGATGGGACGAGATGATTCTGGGTCTTGTGCCCGAGAACTTGGCAAATCATCCCGAGGCCGTGGAGCTGAGGATCGAATGTACAAAACGTGTGCGGGAGGCGGTCCTCGAGGTCAGACGCTCCAGGGGGTTGCCGGATGAAGATCCCAAGAATGGAGTGGTTGAGACGTGGGCGAGAGAAGGCCCGAAGCGTGAAGGCTTGATGGACGACGGCACTTGGGTCAAGGACACCTAGAAGAGAGAGAACCAGTGTGTGCACGGGAAGGACAATGCATCCATGAGCCATTCCCATGTCCATGAGGCTCTTGTATAGCCTTTCACAACGGAGATTTGACATCCTGACCCTCAAACAGAACGTGGATTCACTCGCTTCTTCCCCCCGTGTTCGGACTCGGATTCTCCACTACCTACCCCTTGCCACTGCTAGAAATAGGTATTCATACTAATACATACATACTCACTCGGCCCAATATGGTTGATTTGTGTTAGGTACATAATTTCGAAAAGCATCCCGCCCGGGCTAATCTCTTTCCTCGCTTCCACCAGTTCAAATGTGTACATCTCGTACAGTCGTAGGAATGTATCACACCTTCGATAAGACGTGCACAGCTACCTACATTACCTAGTACCTATGTAGCTCTCACCTGTCACTGCGTCGTCAGGGTCAAGCCAGTCAAGCGGCACGTCTTTTCCACTACTATTATTCCAGGACAAAGGACAGACCTATACAAGAGCCAAATTCCCAGTTGACCATCGAGCTGCATTTAAGGGATAAAAAGACATATCCTCATTCAGACCTAAACACGTATCTGCAGTTGTACTGGGGTATCCAAGGCTGCCACAAACACCAACCCAGCCCTGCAAACGACACGCTCCCGCTTTCATTGTCGTAGCCTTTTTCCAATGCCACAAACCCTGTTATCCAAATAGTTCTCGGGTCGTCAGCCTGCCCCTCCCAGCCCGCTAAAAATACAGGCGTCGCCGACCCCAATCTGTCCTCAATGGTACCAGAGTTCCCCAAGAGAACTACCAGAGCTATTCAGAATCATAGTTGTCTGCCGCTGTTAAAAAATCGTACCTAAAACCCAATAACCTCAAGCTGAAGCAGCCACTTGCTGAGAAGCCGTTGTGGGGACAGTTGGATCTTCGCCTGGGCTTGTCTCGGCCCATGCTCCCCACAGTCCTCGTTTTGCTCTGATCCGCAGGGGCATTCCTATCGACTTGTCGCCTTGCTCAACCTTTATTGCATCCTTTGAGGCTAGAACTAGCACCTCGAAGAACATTTTGGTGGCATCCTCCTTGCTTGCCCGACCTTCTGGGACGAGATCTTGTAGGAGCACGGATTTCTTGGCTGGCGAAGATGGATGGACATCATCAGCATTTCCAAGTCGGTCACGCAGGAGGTGAACTGCATGTTGTGTCCCGAGTGAGATAGGGCCGCTGTCGGCAGGATGGACAAGCGGCACCGTCGTATCGTTGAATGTGCCGTCGCCGGCATCATCGTCGTCCTCAGCAGCATTATCGAAGACTGGAAGGCCGTCGCTCATGGGTAGAGGGGCTGTGTCATCCAGGGTGATGTCGCGCTGGGCATCATCAAGGTGGACACCTTCATCCTCCATTGCATTTTCTGGGCCTTGTAGTCGTGGGGACTTTTCACTGTGTTCGTCTTCGCTTAGACCACCGATGCCGCTATCTCGCTTCCTCTTGAGTTGCCCGGATTTCGACACTAATTCAAACGACAATAGACCTTGGAGCTCGGGTGCCCAATCTTTGGACTGGCCGTCATTCATCGCGTACAAAACAAAGCCGCCGCTCTTTTGCATGTTGGCCAAGTTCATCGTGAGAGAATTTGAAGGCAGAAACGATGGAGGGCGCAAGATCTTCGACCGGTCTGCTGCCTGTGCTTTGATCTGGTTATTATGGAGCACAGTTTCAACGTCGGGCATGAGGACTTTCTGCTTTCTACTCCGCTGACGTTGCCGGGCTGCCACTTCTTCGATCTCCTCTTCCGGTGGGTTATGGAATGTCGTGTCGAGTTCGCGAAGGATGTCAGAGTTAGCCTCTGATAAAGGAGACTCTGTGTCTCGTCCACGAGACGGGGACCCCGCCACTCGTTGCAATTGGAGTGTTTCGTCGTCTTCGAGCTCAAGCGGTGCTGCATCACCAACAGGAGGTAGAGTATCATCTGCATAAGGCTGATCCGGCATAGGCGTGTCTTCACCGAAATCCAAGTCGAGCGCGTCTTCATCGTCATAAAGGAGGGCCTCTCCTTCGCCACTAGGTTTCGGGCTCTGTGCATTTCGACCAAGATTCATACTGACGGTGGTGTCATTCATGTCCATGTCATCGCCTTCTCCAAAGTCGAGATCAAGATCGACCTCATTGTATAATAATTCTTCGTTAGGAGTGAGCATCGATTGAGAACTCTTCTGCTGAGGGACGAGAGAGCTCGTCCAGTCCTCTTCCTCCTCCTCATCGAGCAATTGACTTTGTTCGATTGTAGTGGGTTGTTGTTGGGTCATGGGGAACGTGAAGTCCATATTAGAGAACAAATCATCGATGGTGAGCAATTCAGGTAAATTGAGGTCGACAGTGGTTGCCGCATTGGCGGGCAGATCATGGTTGTTGGTCGATTTGAAGGTCTAATGTATCATTAGCATAGAATACTACAGGAAGGAAAGGCGACGCACCATTCTGATCTTGACCAAGGCCTCGTTACAATCGTCGAGCAGATATCGGGCTTTCCTCCCATAGATTCGCACCACGCCCAGCATAAGCTGACCACTCAGGCGCAAGGCCATAGGAGCATGTCCTTGGTCCACAATGGCGCCCACGCTGCTCTGAATATCGGATTGTAGGATTTGTGATTTTGAGAGCTTGCGCTCGACATTAGAAGCAAGCCAGACACGAGCCAAAGGCCCGGTCTTGGCCAGGAGTTGTTCTGAATAAAACATGTCAAGGTGAGTGAGAGGCTGAGCTGTGAGTGACAGCTCACGGGGACATGTGGACGGGTGAGGGGAGTTTAAGTCAGGTTGTAGAAGTGGGCGAGGGACCTTCGACGCGTCGAGGGCAGGATGATGTTGATTTCAGGTCGCGCAAGTGGATTCGAAGACAGATCCGACCAAAAAAAGATGCGAGGAGGATTTCGCAAAGAATCAAAGCTGAGAAAGGCGCGCTCTCTATGGAGACGACGGAAAAATGCGAGTAAGTAATGGGAGGTTGGTGGTTGGGATGCGACTTGAGAGATGCGAAAGGTCGGGGAGAAAAGAGGGCGGAGTGGCTGGGCGTCCGATGGGCAGATGAGAGGTGGATGGGCGAAGGTTGATCTTGTTTGTCCCTCGTAGTCGTGGCAGCCTCGCCAGTAACGCCCACCCTCCACCGCCCAACGCCAACCCAATGGCCAGTGTTCGAGCACGCCTAGTAGTGCCTAGTACCTAGTGGCTTCTCGTGTTCGCCCAACCTTCCGCCTCTGGGGGGCAAATTGGAGTTTGGAGTTGCGGCCCACCAGGGCCCATGCCTTACCGTAGCGTCAATGCAATTTGCAAGATTTCGAGGACGGAGACAGAGGCGACAGGATCCCTGAGATCTTACTGCGAACCCCCATTCTTCCTTCCAACAGATTCATTGCGCACACGGCTGACCGCTCTGTCGTGTGACAACAATTATCCTCCTATTCCCTCTGTCGATATTTGTTTGAGTCCACTCTAGCGTTCGTCGTCCGTGCATG